TTATATATTTTTTAAGAATGAAAAGTTTATCTCTAGAATAAAAAAGTAAAAAAAGACAAATATTTTGTATATTTTTCAAGAAAAATCAAAATAATATTATATCAATAAATTTCAAAAAAATTATGTTGTGACCTATTATGAACGGATTATTATGTTTATTAAGCCAGTTCAATTTTAAGTCGACTTTTTTTGGTTCGATTAAACTATAAACTTTATCAAATTTCAGATTAAAATAAACTAATCAATCTGATCTTGTTCTATGAACGATTATATTCATTGTGGGTCATGTTAATTAGCATAGTTTTTTCCTTTTTTTAGTGTCTATAAGCAGAAGAGGCGACCAAAGGTGGAAACAATAATCATTGTACTTTGAATGGTGACATGTATAAAATTAAAAATGTAATCGGGCAATAGCAAAACATGTCGTGTTCAATTATTTATATTATAAAGTGTCAAAGTGAGAAAAATAGTACTGAGTTGTCCTTCATTTTCTCCCTCTCTCTACACTTGATTCAATTATTTTATCATTTTCTTCTTTCTCTCACTCTTTTCTCATTGTGAGGTCATTTACCACTTTCTATTTAGTGCTTTTCAATAATTCTAATACGAAACAATGGACTTTGGATCTCCTAATTTACACTATCTTCATTAGGCTTTTTTTTTTTTTTTTCTTTGGTTCGATGATGTTGTCTCCTTCTTTGGGTTTCTATACATGTGTGTGTATATACAAAGTGAGAATAAGATGACTTTTCTTATGATTAATCATGATGCAAAAAGTGACACTTAGAAGCAAAAACTTATTATTCTTCCGTCTAGATCTTTATAGGGATTAATTTAATAGATTAATTTATGAACTAAGTGGCAAAGGCATGATTATCATGCACTTAATCTTATTCGGATGTTTCTTTCCACTCAAAATGTTATAATAAAATAAAAAAGAAAATTATTTATAAACTATTTTTATTTGAATTATTAGTGACATTCTAATACATGAGTTCATATCGTGTAAGAGTTAAGGTTAATGATAGTTTATATATATCCTCCTCTCTTAACTAATGACGTCTTTAAAGGATAAAATTGTGATAGACGAGAACTTTAAAATAGATAATATACTGGATATAGGAATTGATCCTAATGATCTTATCATAACGGACATAAGACTGAGACATACTCATTTTTGGATGGAATATTGGTACCCACCGTGGAGTCGAGAGTAGAGTTCCGCTCCACTCATACATACCTCTTAGTCTTTGATTAGAGAGATACTTATGTTCCGGTACACTTATGAGTCTCACATTGCTTAGGAGTAGATGTTAAAAGTAGTTTATATATATCTTTCTCTCTCAACCCATCTATGCACATTTTTAATATAAAATCGTGACGAAAAAGATATGAAAAGTGGACAATACCTCGTATCTTAAATAGAATCGATTCATAAACAATATAAAATCGGTGAGTGTAGGGAAATAAGTAATATAAAATATGCTAAAATTAATATATATTTGTGGAAGTAGATGAGACATGAAAAAAAAAATTCTTAAATAAGAAAACTTCGAAGGTACGCAAAGTATAAAGCACAATATTATTTTACTTTTTTTTTGTATGAAACAATAATATATTAAATACATAGCACGGAAGCTATATGCTAAACACATAGATAGTTACTACAGTTCTACTAATCAATCATTTCAATATATTAATATCAATTAAATATTTCAGAAAAATAAATTAATTGCTTTATTTTCAAACAAGTGGATAATTATGTGATGTTGTTACTGTTTTTTTTAACATTAACATCCAAAATAAAACTTAGAAATTACCCGAACCCCAATTGATGTCGAATGTGATATCTACATACTATTGTGCATTTTTTAAGTGATAAAATTGCTAACTTACAAAAATATTGTAAGTTATGACGACCATTCATTTATTTTGTTTCTTCTAAAATAACTTAAAGAGCATATGCTACTACTATTAAAGTAACACACATGTCTTTCAAAATATAAAAATAATAATAATAATATACTCATATATAAAATACACATGTTTGAAGTATATAAAAGACTAAACATTTTGGTTATTAGAATCATGGTTACGCAATATGCTCTCATAATTCAACTTAGAAAACAAAAAATAGCTAGTCTCTATTAAAAAAATGTGTATTTTTTTTTTCGTTATAAATGAAAAAGGTATAAAGAGCAGGGCCTTTATCTTTAATATAAATCATTACTTAAATAAGGGAAAAAATAATTAAGAAATTTCATTTTGTGTACTCTATGGTATTCATTATTCTGCTGAATGGTATCTATATCTATATCTATATTACCTAACACGAAAAACATTTTGGCATATTTGACTATGACATAAACGAGAATACTTTTATGTATGTTGATTTGAAACTGAAAAATTAGGCAATCTTGAAGTAAGCTAAGAAGATTGGTTATAAATGAAATTATTAATTTGTGTGTTATCACAGAAAAAAAATAAAAATAAAGGAATAATATATGTTTTTAGTTTCTTTTTTTTTATCACATTTTGATTTACCATCTCTATTTTTAAATTAAGGAATTGCTCTTTAAATTTTAAAAGTTATGATAATTTAATAATTTTTTAACGATCAAATACTGTTATTAAATATTAAATTTAAATTAAATGAATAAATTTAATCTCTTTTATTAATCTAGAGGACTAATTCAATCCTTTAAAGTACATGAAGCTAAATGAAATATGGAAAAAAAAATTATAGAGAAAAAAATATTTTTTTTCTTTAAGAATGAAGGAATTTAGTGAAAGATATAAAAACATTACGAGTCAATCTGTATCTACCAAACTAATTAGGTCTAATATTTCATTGAGATATTTAATATCTCTCATGGAACAGGGATAAAAATCTCGTGATTCTCGGATAATTATACTTAAATATTATTCCATAAAAAGTTTGGTACATCTTTTATTTTATTATAAGTAATTTTTTTCATATTATTCACTAGTTAATTTAATGATTTAAGTGTTAAAGAGTCTTTGCAAGTTATGTTCTTTCTTGAAAATAATGAAGGGGAGATTGATGAAAATGTCCCTACATTCCTAAGAGATGTACCATAGAAACAATTCAAAAGATTGTTTAGTCGCTCTAAATCTAACTAAAAAGACGGTCATTTTGAGACAATATAAAACTTATCGTAAACCACAATCTAGAGTTTAGAGTTTAGATGTGGTAACCAAATTTTTTACCTCCAAAATAGATGTAATTGTCATCATCATTAACCTCAAGATCTACATTACAAAAATAACAACAAACAAACGTAAATTACAAGTTAATTTAATTGTCATATGCAGCAAAGATGACCAAATTTATTTATTTCAAAATTTTAAATAATTTATATTATTAATTAGGCCCTTCTTTATACATAATTCTTACGTATTTTATATATTTATTATAAACGAAATAAATATAATAGTGGAGCTCATATTTCAAAGATTTAAAACAGTTTTACTATGAGTGAGGATATTAACGATTTCTTCATTATCTCTTTAAACGGTCAATCTAGGAAGTGAGGTTTAATATTTTTCATGCTATTTTTTGTGTGTGTTTGGTCTAGGATTGTCATATGTAAGTTGATTCTAATTTATTATAATTTTATTTTTAAAAGATATATTAAAATATAAAATCACGCTTCTCTTAAATAGTTTAGTTTATTTCCTTATACGGTTTTTATCATTGAGAAATATAATAGGATTAAATATATTAGAAGAATAGAATAAAAAGCTAATAAATGATAGCAAGATATACATTATAACAGTAAGAATAGATAAAAAGATTGTATTATGGTGATTCATTAAACAATTTTTAAATAGGTGAAATAATTATTTTATTTTTTCCTGTCTAAATTATAATACCATTTTAAAAGGTTAATATTAAATTTAACTCAACCTCAAAAACGATGGATAAGATGAGATAATTACACGCTATATAATTTGGTCACAAATCCATATAGAATTTTCAACATTGGAAACTGTGAAGGTATGTAAATTAATTAGAATTATTTAATTAATATATGTAATCGTTGCAATTAATCTTCACTTGTTGGTATAGTTGAGATTGGTATCAAAGTCAACTTGTTGAATCAAGGTTAAAGGAAATGTTGTTCCATTCAATATACATTATAGATAAAAAAATATATTTAGGTAATAATCGTTTTAAGTTTATTGTTAAGTTTATAATTTTATTATTTTGAAAAGTTAAATATTTAATTAAAAATCAAATGAATAATAAAAATAATATAATAACTAAAATAAATAGTATAGGATCAACAGAGAGGTAGCTTGACAAAAAGAAAGAAAAATAAAACAAAAAGTATAAGATATAATATTAAACACTCTAATTTGTAAGAATGAAACCTCGAGTATATTTTCTAGATAATTCCATTTGAGGTAAAAGTAACTTTTTCTGTATTTAACATTTAAATTAAAATTATCTTGTGTCAGTTCATATACTTGATTAAATACTGTAATTAATTACTAAATACTTCGATTTTAGTCAAACAAAATTAGAAATTAGAAATGATTTGTCTAACATTTTGGAAATTTGCTCCATATGTTAAGAAGTTTTTGAGGCGAAATTAAAGGAAATGATGTGTGCCAATTCTCTCAAATCCTAATCACCAGAGACTTTGTCTGATGTGATGTTTATGTATTCCTAATTCATACGTAATTTACTTCATCATGGAATAGTCTTTGCTCACCTAATTAAACCTTCATTCACCCAAACAGAAAAAAAATAATAATAAACAATGTTGGACAAAATTATAGCAATAGACAACACCCTTTTACAGATAACAAATGTAAACTCATCTTCAACTGGTTATTCTCTGTGCAGGATGAAGTTGCAGTGATTAAACAAGAAGAGAAAAACAGGAGTATGTTACTCTCTTTTTTTTCCTTATTTTTATTTAATGTTGTGTATTACTTGAAAAGAAAAGAGAATAAAAAAAACTCTAACACTAATAATTCTCCCAAAAAAATGACTCCTCAAGCCTAAAGCCACTATCCACTGCACACAAATGCCAGGAAGAAGAATAGGAGCAGAGTCCATCAGGAAAAAGATCTGGTAGGTCAAAGAAAGTTTCATCTTCATTGGTAGAGTGAGAGCTTGAAGAGTCTTGTGTGTTGTTGTCCATTGAGAGAGTTGAAGATGAGGCATGTTCTGCTTGGCTTGGTTCTTCTTCTTCTTCATCTTCTTCAATACTTTGGCAATACTTAGCCAAGTCAAAGGGTGTGTTTGCTGCTTTTGCAGCTGCAGCTTGAATGTCCTTAGGTGATGTGGTAGCTGGCCTTGGAAGTTCTTGAGCCAATTCAGGGAAATTGAGGTATGCTGAGTGGCCCTTGATGGCTAAGGCAGCCACATCATGTGCTCTAGCAGCCATTTCTGCTGTAGGGTATGTTCCAAGCCAAATTCTTGACTTCTTCCTTGGCTCACGGATTTCAGACACCCATTTGCCCCAATTCCTCATCCTCACACCCCTATAAGTAGGGTAGTTCTGGTTGCTAGGATTCTCCCTCTGCCTCTTCTTGCACCCTTTTGAGTCCTTCTCATTTTCCAACGAGGTTTGAGAAGTGGTTGAGTCATTTTGAGGGGTTTTGGAGTGTGCTTTGGTGCATGAATCTGAGTGTGAGTGTGAGGTTGAGGATGATGACGACGATGATGATGATGTGGTGCTAGAAATGTTGGTTTCAATGACGATTGAAGGGGTTGTGGTGGTGGAGGAAGTGGAAGTGGAAGTGGAGGAGGAGGAGGAGGAGGATGTGGCAAAGGAATTGAAAAAGTCAGCATCACTTTCCATATTGATACGTTTTCTCATGGTTGAGACTTTGATTGTTGTGGTACAGAGAATGAGTGGGGGTGCACAAAAATAAATAGACCCTGCTAAGGTAGCCTTAGGAATTATGATTCTCTTAAAAGAGAAAAAGGGTTTGTTTTAAAGAGGGAATGAAAAAGAAGAAGAAGAAGAAAAAAAAAAAAAACATTTAAAGGAAAAAGTTGGAAAAGGAATATAAAAAAATCATGGGTTCCATAAGGCACAGTTGTGCTACATTCAGCTAATTTGTTTTCCATGTGGGAATTAAATAATGTGGCTAACCTTAAATTTATACACCAATCCTGTTGTTTGTTACTTACCTCTGGTTTTTTCCAGTGTCTACATTCTCTTCTGGTCATAACTTTCCATTCTCTTCAGTATATATTTTCATGTGCTTCCACAGTTTTGTTCTCCTTTTAAGAACAACCCTTATTTGGGGTCCTTCATTAAGTGGTAGGCCCTAAATTTCACTACCATGATTTTTTCATAATGACCCTTCATTCTAGTTTATCTAAAACTCTCACCACTGATTTGTGGGGTGGCCAGCTAGGTCCTCAAACAGAGCACACCAAACCCCACAAATTCTTTAATATTTTTATCTCAACCCTATATAAAATGTATGACATGGTCTTTCTTTGTTCATGGTGATGTGTATAGCTACAAACTTCTACATAGCTTTATAAATTCCTTAATATTTTTTATCTCAAACTTATGCAGAATTATAAGTTTCTAGTAATAGTTTTATACAATTATTTAACTCAGCAGACAGTATCAATGCCCCTTGACATCAAATTTTTATATGATGAGCTTGTTAGTGTGTCCTCTTCAACTTGACCCAATTATATGTCTTAACCTGATCTGGCCTTCTGCTAGAGATTGGTGTTCCATTTTCAATGCTGTGATTAATTATGTATAAACAATTTTTCTCCAGTTGTGATCACTTGCCACAACCAATCGAATCAGGACTATTGTCTCAATCGCTGGTGGAAACTAATTCAATTAAAAACCATTTTTTCAATAACAATTTTTTCTGCAATTCACCACTTGAGGATGCCCACGTGGGTTTTGGTAATCAAGGAAGAAGACAAGTGACGCAATACACATAAACAAGACTGTTCCAATTTATTTTCCCTATAAAACAAATACTGTTATATTAATTCAACACCCCTTTATTGTAAGAACTTATTCAAAACGAGTATTCAAATTATTAAATATAGAAGTTCAGAATTGATGATAACAATGAGTATGTTGAGAAAGTTAAGATAGGAACTGTGTTCATAGTAGTTTCTATCAGAAAACAAACCAGTAACACATGTATGATGTTTATATTGCTAACTGTCAATTGTTGAACACTTATTTAACTATTGATTAAGCTTTGCATTGACATAGGAAAGGTTGAGACAGGGATTTACTTTAGCACAAAAACATGGCTTACGTACACATGCTGCACATGGCTGTGGGCCAACGTTGGCTCAAATGCCATTTATTTTTTTCTGGTCGAAGGGTCAACTATATACGCTAACAGCTTTGTCCAATCTTGTTCTTTCGTATTTTTGGTTCCAATTCTGTGTTGAAATTCTAAATCTTTGCCAACCCATTGTGAGCATTTGAGTCGTGTGCGTCAATGAATTGCAAGACGATCAAGTTTAATCTTCTAAAGCAACAAACGCTGTGGGAAGATTTTCAGAGATCAGGTATCTTATATCTTTCATATGATGCAATCTTTTAGGAGTTTAATGTAGTTGATTTTGAAACAATTAATAATATTAAACATGATTAATTTGTCTTAATTGATTCACGCACCTGTCGGTAAATGTTAGAAGATATATATTTTTTAGAAAAATAGGTAATTAGTTTTATACTGTGATCTAAAGAAAAAAAGCCTGTAGAGGTAATTTCTTACAGGGAGAAGTTTTAGTTTATATGGAATTTAGGATAAGAAAACTAAGTTTATCATGCTTATTATTTTTTTAGTTAGGTGACTTGTTACAAGGAAAAAAAATTGATGGTCTAATATTTTAAAATAAATTAATCATAATTTTTAGTTTAATACTATTTTACGTTAGATCAATACATTAATCGAACAATTTTAATTTACAAAAAATATTAATATATTTATATTAAAATAATTAATTTAAAAAATATTTAAATAATATATATTTTTTTAAATTTAAATTATATTAATAAAATTAATATTTAAGATATAACAATTTAATATAAATTATAGAATAATTTATTCATTCAATTTTAAAATAAAATTAAAATTATTATTATTATTATTATTATTTAGTAATTTATTAATCTAAAATAATAATTAATTTTAGTTATTAAGTTTTAGAATAAGTAACTGTTAAAAAATTTACTTTTTTTAATAAGATATATTAATTTATAATACACATATTTTTTTTAATAATATTATTTTTATTTTTATTTAAAAAATAATAACTACTTTATAAAACGGATTAATTTATAAATTTACAGACTATCTTTATACTATCATTTTAAATTGGTTACCTCTAATTTTAGTTGCATCAAATTATAATTCTGGTAATATTTGGTATAAAAATTGAAACACTTACTTAAATATTACAGAAATTATTATATCTAATTAATTGATTATATAAAATTGTTTTACGTTATTAAAGTATAATAGGAAAAGTTTTGTGTAACATTGTTTCAAATGAAAGCAAAGTAGAGAGGAGAATGAAGTGAAGCAACTAGGACACGGCTTTGACAATTGATAGTTAATGGGGGTAGGTTGAACAATTAAACCAGGTTCAGTAACTTTTTCTGCAATTAAAATAACAATGATATACTTTCGATTCTAGGGTTTCTTTTAAGTAGGACACATGTGTTTGTTTCTATCCCCTTAACTAGGTATCCACTGCCCTTGGTCCCCATTTTATGTTCCATGCTACTTGTAGGAAAATTGGTCAACTATAAGATAGTTTCCTAACCCACTTAGTGAATTCGTTTAATCACTAACTAAACTAATTCTCTTTCCGCTTTCCCAATTCTTCTCACCATTCAATTACTACATAAGTTTGTTGTATGATAAAATTAAATTCTATTTTAAAAAAATAAAAATAATTGTTTTTAGGATTTATTTGATAAAAAAAGTGTGAAAAAAAGAAAAAAAAGTACAATAAAAAATGAAATAGAATAAAAATATTCTTCTTTATTTAAATAAATAAAAATTATTTTAGAAATATAAATAAATGTTATTTATTTTTTCTCTTAAGTTTTTGTTAATAATAAATATTATATTTATTTTTTATTCAGTTTTCCATTTAATTTTTTTCTCTTTCTTTTTTCTATTTTTAGATTTTTATCATTTTTCTCTAATCTTTTTTTTTTTACTTATTTTATCTTTTCATATTTTTATCTTTTTTATTTTTATTATTTATTAACTCTCATATTTTTAAAAATTATCTTTTTTTTTAATAATTTCATCCTATAACATACACATTTTATTTTTTATTCGTTAGTTTTTAAAAAAATTATCTTCTGTTTAAGAAGACATTTTTTTTATAATTTCATTTTATAAAGTAAAAATTGTTTTTTTTTTAAGTCTGGTCTTCTTGTTCGATAAGACATAAGACAAAAAATAAAAAAAATATAAAGAAGATATCTCACAATACTTTTTTTAAATAAAAATAAAAATAAAAATAAATTTATTTTTTATTGTTTTTGTTTATTAATAATTAGCATGTATTATGTAATATAAAAATGTGAAATATTAATATAATTTTTTTTGTTATAAATTGATTAGTTATAAATTAATTAATTATTTTAATATTTTATGATATTATATTTTGATGTTAAAATGTTAAGAAAAAAATTCTTAAAGATATCTAAAAATAAAATTATTAATTGATTAAAAAAAATATAAAAAAAATAATTTTAAATTTAAATATAAGTAATAATATTAAATATATAATATTTTTATTTTTATATATTCATCTCTCGTCTAAAATTTCTGATTTTGTACTTGTTTTCTAGTTTACACTTTTCAAACAAAGTCTTAGTCTCTGTTCAGTAATAAAGAAAAAAAAAGTGTAAGAAAAGAATAAAAAAAGAAAAGAAAGAAATAAAAATGAAAATTATTATTTAAAAAAAGATATAAAAAAAGAAAATTATTCATTTTAATAATAAAAACATAAAATTAAATTAAATATTGATTTAATTACCAAATTTCTCATATAATTATTAATTATTTTTTTTATTAATAAAATAGATTTTTAAAGTAATACCTTTAATTTATATATCTCATTTTTAATAATATATATTTTGATATATAATTATAAATTATTTTTCAAAAATTATATATTACAACTTACAAATAAATAACAAAATATTTATAAAATAACATCTTTCTTACATATTTTTTATTTCTTTTCATTTATATATATATATATATATATATATATATATATATATATATATAATTAAAAGGAAAGTAAACACGTCAGATACATTAACAATGACAATTTTTTTCTTCCTTACTTTCTTAAAATTATGTGAATATATTTATTGACATTATTAACTCTTAAACATAAAATACGATGGTATAATTGAATCATCGTGTTTTATCCAATTTTGATATATATATATATATATATATATATATATATATATATATATATATATATATATATATCATTACTAGAATATTATAATTAATTAAACATAAGATTAAAATCATTTTAGCAATTTTCTTTTTCTATAGAAATGTGAGCCCAATTAGCTTGACAAATTGTTTGCATGGCAGGATCAAGAAAAGGGTGACTATGTACACCACGTTTATAGGTTCCATGTAAAACGTTTATTATGTTATTAGTTTCATATTAATATATCATTTGATTGATTATAAGTGATAATAGTGTGAATGCAATATTTTTTTCTTAATAATTTATTAATATATTAACGAGAAATCAAATTTTTTAATTTTGAAAAATTTAAATACTAAAGCTTCAATTAAGATTTTATAGAGATAAAAATTG